CTGAACAAAGATTACAAAGAAAAGCAGCAATTACGACAAACTCCCAAAAATTTTAGGAAATACGCCTTAAACGAGGCCTTGTTTACTGAGTTATTCTTTTATTTGATCTCATAACCACGGGTGGCTCATCGAGCATGCACAAACAAATGGTCTTAAATTCATTCAGGTTGCTATATTTGACTCTTTGGCTTCCTAACTATTTGACTGCATGATGTATTGCTAGCTTAATCTACAACCAAGGCCTTTTGGTTGCGGCGCTTCCAATTTCCTAAACCTGTTGCCTGCTGCATCAGTGAAGGATAGTTTGTGATGGACTGTGATACTTTACAAGAGGTAATTTTCTTTGTCTTTTGAAATGAGTCCCTATCATTTCATACTTGAATATATAGATTTGAATAGGAATGGGGGGTAATTCTAGGTACTACAGTAAAAGTGTTGCCATACCACTTGTTTTAAGGGTCCTATATGATGTAATCCTGGGATATGTCATCTGTTTGGTCGACTATCTGAACCCTCCAATTACGTTAGAAGCAAAAGTTAAAACAAAACAGTTGATCAGTGTGACTGGAAATGACGCAGAGGCAAGAAATAGTAAGAGGCAGAACCCTAAAGGTCTTCTCCACAATTTGTACTTAATTAGAGGTTCTTTAAGAAACGGAACCGCTGGCTCCACCTCATAATCGGTTGCATTGGTGTGTTTGCAAAAGTCTCAAATGATGATATGATTAGGCGATTTTAAGCTCTATTTGGTGGTTTTACATGACACAGGGAATAAAAAATATTTCTTGTCTTAAGATAGATCTATGTAAAATCGGATTTTAAAGTCTATCTCTATTGGCTACCCATTAGTATAATGTCTGAAAATAGAAGCAATTGCCCAATCACGCATAAGACGCACATTTCTATGCGTAAAGAAGGCGCGAACAAGGTGGCCAAACAAAGTAGCCTCTTAGCTCTTTAAGTAAGCTAAGTTGTATGATAGGGTAACTGCTTCAACTGTGCAAGATTGCACAAAGTGTGGTTGCTCATTACTACTGAATATTTTAAATATACCTCTGTCCTTCTCCACTCACGCGTCCATTTCCATACGCCGAATTATCCTTTAAATCACAATTTACTTCTAACATGTG